TGCACCCCTGGATATTTTTTGATGGTAGAGATGTAGTCATAAACCCCGTTGAAATTTAATTGGGGAGTTGTTAAAAGCGAACCATCGAAAATCCCTTACCTCAAAAACGCCTGGTCACAAGTTTCTGGCATGTAACTATATTTATACCAACAAACTAAACTCGAGGTTGCGTATTTTGGTTCTCAGATACAAAATAAATATAAGCAGACATTTCAGAAATTCCGCTACTAGCTATTACGTCAGTATCACCAACTGTACACTGTATCTTTGACATTCTTCCCTTGTGTTAATAGTCAGAGTGATCTTGTCCGGATTATTCGAAATGACAGTTTCCGTCTCAACCTACTGTTACGTGTAAGGGTGACTACAGACGGGGTTTTGACTGGATTTATTGACACCTTATACACAACTGTGGCTTACAGGCAGTTATATCGCTACCGCTGATCTGCACATCTTCCAGTTCACCGTTGCAGACATACTAGGATTCTCAGTCTTCACTAGTCCTATCCTGGCAACGGATCTGTAACAGTCTGTCACTTCAGATCACACATGAAGTCTTTCTTACACAGCCTAATTCTTGTCTCGCCATTATTCCGTAATTGCCAATTTCTGTGCTCCCAAGCTCATATCCTCGTAGGCTGGCGTCTCGAAATTCGAATCTGTTCTTCTCAACTGAACTCTTCTTTATAACAACTTAGAAAGGATCATGCAGAAACACAGGCACTTATTGGGAAGGCGTGTTTACAGCGCTGTTACATAGCAACGGAAGTTACTGGATTGTTGCTTGTATATTTGTTGCCATGGCAATGTGTTTACAGAGTTGTTGCCTAACAATGAATGTCTATTCTGACTTCACTATTCCGGCTTTCGGACGTCATGTCACAATACAATTTACACAGATACCCACTATGAACTCTTGTCCATTATGTCACAACTCCATTTGTAATATACATGATGATGGAAGTATTTATCCTTTGTGGGCAAAAGCCGAAACTACAGCCCTTACTGAGGCGCCTTCATTGCCGCCTGGTGGTCTTATCCGTAACTACAAACACCGTGACTGCTACATAACGAAAGAAAGGCAAGCACTTCATGTAGCCACATCGGTTAAGAAAATTGAAATAAATGCTCATTTGTATGACTACCGGTGCAGCAGTCAGGTTTCGCGTGCCGCAATTTTCACAAAGCTGCGGTAGTGTACGGTATAAAACACTGGAGGTACTTTACGTTTCCGCTGTTACAAGTTGCGATCATTAACATATAACGTCTTGTGACACAACTGTTCCGCGTTGTTGCGCACGGTGGCCGCACGGGAAGGAAATTTCGTGCATGTATGTATGTATAGCGTAACATTTCTTGGTTTGTAAACTGCGAGTAACCAAACCTTCGAGCTCAAAGAGGCGCTCTTGTCTCCAGACAAGATATTCTTTGAAAGACTGACTCATACACCAAAGCAAGGCCGTACAACATAGCTTAATTCTTTAACGCTCTACAGCCAATTGAGTTGCGAAAAACTTTACTGAAGAAACCAATGAAATAAGACAGCTAATTAATAAAACAAACTTCCTGACGATGAATTTGATGTTCTCACAGTGGCGGGTATGAAGAGTTATCTCCTGCAATATAACACCATATATTCCTTGACATTTAGAAGCATATGGCCTCCATTCTGAGTTCGAAAAAGGTTTGCTCTGCTTGCTGCCTGATTCATGCTAGTTTCTTGGTTTACTTATTCTTCGACCCTGAAGATGGAGGCGATGTTCTTCCGCAAAGTCGGCTGACTTTCATCGGGCTACACGGCGTTACGTGCCACAAGGCAAAAGCCTTCACGCGAATACCATATTTGATGTCATCCTTTACACTTAATTTTAAGACGCAAATACGTTTATTNTGTCCACCACAAATCCCACTTGACCAGACCTGGGCTCGAACCCAGGCCGCCGCAATGGGAAGCCAGCGACTAACCGCTTGAGCTATGGCGAGGCCCTTTTCTGGCTAGATCCGTAAACACATTTTTAATGAACATCAGCTCAGGGCATTATCACCGATGCACCCCTGGATATTTTTTGATGGTAGAGATGTAGTCATAAACCCCGTTGAAATTTAATTGGGGAGTTGTTAAAAGCGAACCATCGAAAATCCCTTACCTCAAAAACGCCTGGTCACAAGTTTCTGGCATGTAACTATATTTATACCAACAAACTAAACTCGAGGTTGCGTATTTTGGTTCTCAGATACAAAATAAATATAAGCAGACATTTCAGAAATTCCGCTACTAGCTAATACGTCAGTATCACCAACTGTACACTGTATCTTTGACATTCTTCCCTTGTGTTAATAGTCAGAGTGATCTTGTCCGGATTATTCGAAATGACAGTTTCCGTCTCAACCTACTGTTACGTGTAAGGGTGACTACAGACGGGGTTTTGACTGGATTTATTGACACCTTATACACAACTGTGGCTTACAGGCAGTTATATCGCTACCGCTGATCTGCACATCTTCCAGTTCACCGTTGCAGACATACTAGGATTCTCAGTCTTCACTAGTCCTATCCTGGCAACGGATCTGTAACAGTCTGTCACTTCAGATCACACATGAAGTCTTTCTTACACAGCCTAATTCTTGTCTCGCCATTATTCCGTAATTGCCAATTTCTGTGCTCCCAAGCTCATATCCTCGTAGGCTGGCGTCTCGAAATTCGAATCTGTTCTTCTCAACTGAACTCTTCTTTATAACAACTTAGAAAGGATCATGCAGAAACACAGGCACTTATTGGGAAGGCGTGTTTACAGCGCTGTTACATAGCAACGGAAGTTACTGGATTGTTGCTTGTATGTTTGTTGCCATGGCAATGTGTTTACAGAGTTGTTGCCTAACAATGAATGTCTATTCTGACTTCACTATTCCGGCTTTCGGACGTCATGTCACAATACAATTTACACAGATACCCACTATGAACTCTTGTCCATTATGTCACAACTCCATTTGTAATATACATGATGATGGAAGTATTTATCCTTTGTGGGCAAAAGCCGAAACTACAGCCCTTACTGAGGCGCCTTCATTGCCGCCTGGTGGTCTTATCCGTAACTACAAACACCGTGACTGCTACATAACGAAAGAAACGCAAGCACATCATGTAGCCACATCGGTTACGAAAATTGAAATAAATGCTCATTTGTATAACTACCGGTGCAGCAGTCAGGTTTCGCATGTCGCAATTTTCACAAAGCTGCGGTAGTGTACGGTATAAAACACTGGAGGTACTTTACGTTTCCGCTGTTACAAGTTGCGATCATTAACATATAACGTCTTGTGACACAACTGTTCCGCGTTGTTGCGCACGGTGGCCGCACGGGAAGGAAATTTCGTGCATGTATGTATGTATAGCGTAACATTTCTTGGTTTGTAAACTGCGAGTAACCAAACCTTCGAGCTCTAAGAGGCGCTCTTGTCTCCAGACAAGATATTCTTTGAAAGACTGACTCATACACCAAAGCAAGGCCGTACAACATAGCTTAATTCTTTAACGCTCTACAGCCAATTGAGTTGCGAAAAACTTTACTGAAGAAACCAATGAAATAAGACAGCTAATTAATAAAACAAACTTCCTGACGATGAATTTGATGTTCTCACAGTGGCGGGTATGAAGAGTTATCTCCTGCAATATAACACCATATATTCCTTGACATTTAGAAGCATATGGCCTCCATTCTGAGTTCGAAAACGGTTTGCTCTGCTTGCTGCCTGATTCATGCTAGTTTCTTGGTTTACTTATTCTTCGACCCTGAAGATGGAGGCGATGTTCTTCCGCAAAGTCGGCTGACTTTCATCGGGCTACACGGCGTTACGTGCCACAAGGCAAAACCCTTCATGCAAATACCACATTTGATGTCATCCTCTACACTTAATTTTAAGTCGCAAATACGTTTATTGGCATGTACTGTCTTCGATCGCTTGGAAACCAGGATCGTGGATTCGAATCCCACTCAGGGCATGGATGTTTAGTTTGTGTGTGCGCCTTTTTCTGTGTTTGTATACAGGTAGAGGCCTTGTGACGAGCTGATCACCCGCCCATGGAGTCCTATCGAATGTGTAGGATCTAGAAAAACCGAGGTGAACGGATAAGTTCATGGAGGTAGGCCTAGGCCCATTGGGGCTGTAGTGGCAAAGAAAAAAAATACGTTTATTGTTGCCCGTATACTTCGCCCAAAATCAGTTTTACTGCTGTTTTCTTATTAATTCTGAGAATATGAAAAGTTTCATATTTTCATTTCTTTTCATACTTGGAACCGCTGTTCTGATAACAAAAGCGGGTACGCAGCGTACACCGTGATCTTAATTAGTATATCATTATATCGTTATATAACATATAGATGGCTGATCAAGATCAATAATTAATTATATAACAATAAAGGTGGCTGATAAAGACAGCGTAGTACACTACGTCACATTATAACAGAAGAAGGTTTATGACCGGTTATGACTGTACGTGTGTTAACTGTGTTGTTGTGCTGTGTCGTTCCCATGCCGTAATAGTTTTCACTTACATCCACAGATGGCAGCTCTGTATTTATAACTGTGCCACCTGAAGGATAAAGATTTAATTAGTTCATTGTTGTAACACAGATAGAAGCGAATGAGATAAAGGTATAAAAGTGATAAGGGAGTAAAGGGAGTGGAGGATAAATGTACGAAAGAAATAATTCCATGCTGAACTTCAACGGTTGTTTCCACTAATACATAGTCGAAAAAATAAGACGTTGCACTGCACCATGACAATAAATAAACAATTCTTGGAAACGGGTTTTAAAGAATCGTTTACAGATGCTATTATTCTGAAACATTTCCATCAAAACTTGAATATCACAGATTAATTTTATTAACATATCATTCACCCCAAACGTATTCTTTCAGTGGCGTAGCGTTGGCATTTGAGCAGGGCTAACCTGTGGAGCTTATTAGTGTTGACCATGATTAAACAAAGTTATACTCGCCTAATGAAGTGGACAGATCTTCTACCTCTAGCCCAGCTCCAGGGCCCCTCCGAGCTGCGAACTCCGGTGCAGATGCACCGCCTGCCCACACGCTAGCTACGCCACTGAAAACGTCCCTCGTCCGTATAGCTAAACGAACAAACGCACAGTGTCAGTTAATGCGGAACTTATATCACTAAAACAGTGTAAGACACTTGCGCGTAACTTCACTTAACACGTATTCCATCCACATATCCTGCCGCAACCAGCTCATACACAACTGCCCTACTAATGCTGCTGGAACAACACATTTCCACACTTTAACTCAGTAAAGAACATTTAACTAGTTTGGGCAACACCTGCTCTAACATCTTACAAACAAACAAAAAAAAACTTCAATTTTTCTTCAACATTTTGGTATGTTGTACGTCCTGTGATTACCACAATAAACACGATTTATTTTACACAAATATCATAAACCAGTGTAACGGAGAAGCAGTGGTGTTTGCCGTGACGTATGAATTGAAATTTTAAACATTATTAAGAAAAACTGCAGTCTTCAAGGGTTTAATATTTCTTCGGCCTCATAAATTTTTCATTCTTAAATTGGGGGGGGGGGTAAAGGTGAAGTCGCCTCTGTGCTTAATTAGTTGCACTATGGCATGAATACATATGTGGGAGTTGAGGTACAGTTCCACTTGTTGACCTCTGCACTAGATGGAGTTGAGCGGTCAGCTTCGCGCCCCTGCTGCTTTACTGTCAGTATCCTAGCTTTATAGGGTCGAATGGTAGGATTTTGAAAGAATGATGAATTGGAAAGGATTTGGAAGGAAACGGTCGTGGCCTGAGGTATTTGTCTGGAAAGAACTACCGAAACTGTGAGAAAGCTCAGTCAGGATAGGTTAGGTGTTCCAGCCGAGACTGAACTGAAGTACAGAGCGTTAGGCTGCTTATCCCACTTAAATCCCAATCATCGTACTTAAAATAATGCACCATAGTTGATTACTGCAGTTCTGGGTCTCATGATCCATTACTATTCAAAATAGGTAAGCTGTAATAATACAGTGCACTGAAAAGTGTGAATCGTAACACCAAAACAATTCAGGCCATTAATACTATGGTAGAATATGTAGACGCGTTGCTAGACAACAACAGCGACAGAAGTAGCTATACAACAGCCGTTACTGAGTAAAGGCTTCGGAAACAAGAAATGTTTGCATGGCAACAGTTGGAAACCGCAGCAGAGGAACGGTGTTTTCTGTGCGGTCCATGTCGAGATATTATAAGGAGGACAGTTAGTGAAAGTCAGTTGAGAGTCGACAGTGGGAGCAACGAGTTAATTGTGAGACAGTCACCAGCTGGTAAGAACGTGAGTACGGAAGCGGAGGACGGTGTTGGGATCCGTCACCAGGCAGAGACTGGTGAAGATATAGCAAACTTAGAAGACTTTATGTTTGCTGTCGTTACAGTGATCTTTTGAGTGTGTAACTCAGTAAGACGCCGGTCACGGTAGCCGAGCGGTCTAAGGCATGTACTGTCTTCGCTCGCTTGGAAACCGGGATCGTGGGTTCGAATCTCACTCAGGGCATGGATGTTCAGTTTGTGTGTGGGTTTTTCTGTGTTTGTGTACAGGAAGATGCCTTGCGACGAGCTGATCAACCGCCCAAGGAGTCCTACCGAATATGTAAGATCTAGAAAAACCGAAGTGAACGGAGAAGTTCATGGAGATAGGCCTAGGCCCACTGGGGCTGTAGTGCCGGGCGGGGGGGAACTCAGTAAGACTGTCGTAATTATTTGTGGTTACTTTCTGCAAGTGTTAAGAAAATCTAGTTACCAATCTGAACCTCGTCTATAGTCAGTCAATCACGTGACAATATAATTGCTGTATTTCCTCATTTAAGCCCCTAAGGCGACGGTTTGTCAACTCGCTAGGTTATGTAGCGAAGAACGGAAGCTGTACTATATTATGACTTGAAGTAAGAATAAGAAGATGGAGCTGTGGTGTTCCAATTTCAGACACTGCTCTGGAAGTTGCTGAGAAGACAGAAAAATCACTGAAACTAATGAATAAAAATAATTGGTTCCTGGCTTACTATACTGCTCGTACTTACAGCACCGCCGCCGCTACTGTTAGTACTACTAAAACGGAAAGAGCCCGGGTAGCTCAGTCGGTATAGAGACTGGCTATGGGCTAGACGACTGTGGGGGTCGGAGTTCCAGTACCGGTAGGGTCAAGAATTTTCTCTTTTCCGCGTCGCCTAGGTCCACCATGGGTACGGGGGGGCTCTTTCCCTGGGGGGTAAAGCGGCTGGGACGTGAAGCTGACCACTCATCTCCAACTATTACCGAGGTCAAGAAAACGTGAATGTATGCAACAACTCCCCGATACGCCTTCTTGATGCAGTGCTTAATTCGTTGAGCACAAGGACAACTTTACCTTCTTTTACCTTACTACTACAACGGAAAGCAGTTAAGATGATCTACTGATGTGTCTCTGTAATTAATATAAAAATTCAAATTTGTTTAAAATACAAATTAAAAACGTTCGAGGCGAGAATACAAAATTCGCACACCTAAGTCACAAAGTAAAAATCGCAGAGGATGAAGTGTCAGTAAGTAAGATAGAGTCGCCATCCTGCAGGAACGCCCCGAAAGAAATGTACCGCCTAACAACCCTTCAGAATGCCTGTGAAGGCAGACTGGCCGGTACTGCCGAGGTGCGGAGATGCTGGCGGCCAGCCCCACATTCCATTGTATTTTGGCGGTATCAATTTGTTTTTTCCTAACTTCACACATATCAGTTTCATTGACATATTCCGAATTCTCTCTGCCAGATGAATACGTACAAATGTGGGAAAGAATTCCTCGGTGTCCAGTTCTGCTCGCGATGCATTGATCATGCGGGATACATCCATCTATTGGCTTCAACCCCGCCGGAGGGGGAGAAGGGGCACCATTGTAACAACTCTTCTGACTGCAAATCCGATCTGAGAGTTACAAAAATGTCTCTTCGTTCTACGATTTGAGTGAAGTTATGAATATGTGGTCATATTTTCCGCCAAGGATAGTAAGTATGAGCCTGTGACGGTAGTCGAGCGGTCTAGGGCATGGACTGTCTTCGCTCGCTCGGAAACCGGGATCGTGGGTTCGAACCCCACTCAGGGCATGGATGTTTAATGCCTGTTTGTGTGTATGCGCGTTTTTCTGTGTTTCTGTACATGTAGCGGCCTTGCGATGGGCTGATCACCCGCACAAGGAGTCCTGTGGAATATCTCAGATCTAGTAAACCGAAGTGAAACGGAGAGTAACATGGAGGTAAAGCGGCCTCCGTAGTCTAGAGGTAACGTTCCCACCTCATGACTCGTGGTACGCGGGTTCAAATACCCGGCGGAGGTCGTCAATTTTTAAGGGCGGAAAAATTCAGGGAACAAGTCCTCCGGGAGGGACTTTAAGCTGTGTGTCCCGTGTCGTAACTTTACGGCACGTAAAAGAACCTCATATCCCCAAAGGGGATCACTGAGCCAAATTCCAGGACGTTTCCCGCCCAACAATAGTCTCTAAGGCCTCTGACAGATGGGGGATGCGTTATTGATACCGCTAAGCAAGTGGCCGAACTCGCTTGCTCGGCGGGACTGATGGTACGCACCATTTATCGGTAGGGTATAGAGACTGGTAGAATATCATAGAGGAAAGCACAATAGACCAATACTGGTCTAAGTGCATGGGGAAACCCACCCTCTCCAATAACTAACTAACATGGAGGTAGGCCAAGCTCCAAGCTGGGGGCTGTAGCGGCAAAGGAATACACTCCCTAGAGTACTTACATGTAACGCATTTCTCTCTGCAGCGACATGAAACAGATTTCGGTATGATGACTCTTCTTTGAATTTGTAGAGCGAATACACACACAAAATGTACATACAATATTTTGGTTGGAAAACACGGAAGAATAGATTTTGGATTACGAGAAGTGGATTGGGAATGTTATAATGGATATTAGAAAAAAAAACGGTGTTAACGAAGCTGAACTAGCTTTTGTGGTAATTTGGATGAAATTTCACATCGTAAAAACAATATTCCTTGAATGACTGAACACCCGCGATTATGTTTGGCTTATTCAGAATACCCGTCTAACATCTCAACTTTTAGTTTGACTTTTGTTATAACTCATCGATACTTTGGATTGGCCTATAGGCTACAGGTCTGAAATTATTTCAACTATACACCTACATAGAATCATCTGGAAATGCACAGCATGAACAAGGATTTTTAAAATAGGCGGTAGGTTATTTATATGCGAAAAATTTACTTTGAGAAACAACAGTGAGATAGTAAAAACAAAAAAAGATAGAGCTATCCCTGTAACAGGATGTAGAGGTTCTCACATCTTCTAGACAATCGGCTCACAGATGGCGGTGAGGCTGTCAGCATTAAACGTCGGCCGGCCGCTCTTTACCCCCCGGAAAATTCCCGGTACTCATTTATGTTAGAGGCTGAGTCGACTCCAGGACCATAGTGCGGCTGGAAGGATTAGGTCGATTGAAAGATCCAGTGACCTCATCGGGAATTTTCATTACAAAGTTAACAGTCCAGAACCGACGTATCCCGAAACTCTAGCACATATCAGCGCGATCAAACTGATAACACTGAACCAAATTATCTGTAGCCGTTTCTAACTGAAAGCGAATTGCATCGACTTCAAAATGAAACCTCTTGCAAGTCTTCGAAGCATAATTTTCGGCCAGACGCAGGTTTTCAAATATGCAATGCATGAAAGAAGCATATGGCTGTATTTTACGTTGACTACTACTCCTCCATTAAGAAAACATCAGCAGAGCGCTACATTACCGGTATAAGAGAAGTACCCTTGTTGCCTAGGTAACAAGACTAACCTTCAGATGCGATGCCCTGAGGACATCACGCAACCTAGTGACAAGGTTACTTAAGGCACGCGAAGTACGTACGAACGCCCTGCGACGAGCACGACGGAGTAACTCGAATGTTATCTTTCGGTAGGATCCGAGACGGTAAAGTACTCGGTTTCACAATAACACCACAGAAGTTCGTATGACGAAATGTGGAACGGTTGTGTTCAAACGTACTTTTTTTTTCTGCCTCTACAGCCCCCTTGGGCCCTGGCCTCTGATTTTTCAGTTTCATGAT